ATGTGTGTGACGCTGGTATGCACCCGAATGAAGTTTTCGAACGCAGCCGATATATGTATAAGTGACAAATAAGCTCACCCACGGTTGCTCCGCCGTCGCCTGATACCTCCCAGGCCTCCTCCTCCCCTCGTATTCCTTCGTTACACCGACACAACCTTCACTCGCGGAAACACTCAAGTTAGCTCGCCTATTAATGCTCGCGCGTCACTTTAAACGGCACTCCCGGCGTTGGACACACACGACGCCGCTTCGTTTTGCGACGAACAACGCGAAAAGAGCGATATATAACTTACGAGACTACGAGCCACTCGATATCCGCGACGTGTCACAAACGCAACGGACGGTATCCAAGATGACGGAGAAACTTCGTAAATCGCGCGACGCGCGACCAACTTCACGCGGTTCACGCGGCAGGAGCGATTATCGATCGACGCGACGACGGCGACGATGCTACACCTGTTGGCTGTTGCTCGCAGCTACACTTTTTTATACTGTCTATACATCGAATGTTAAATAGTATACGCTCGCGTTTTCCGCGTAATTACTAACACGTCGGATAACGCGAACAAATATGCGAGTTGATATCGGAAATAAACGTTCGCGGAACAGGAAATCCAAAAAGATGATTACTTTGCCGTTTATTTGTCCGTACAATAGATTGCGATCGAGCGAGTCTCGCGAAACACGCGTTTCAATGATTTACGAACGCCGAATGATTTTGCCACCTTGCAATGATTGTCAGACGTTGAATCGAGAGTATAAATAACGAATCGGCTTAATCAAATACGTCGCGACGTTTTACCCGGCTTGTAGCTAATCGGCTCTGTATCCGCGAAGTTTCGTTTTCGACGACAAAAGTGACGCCCGGCAACTTCTTACTAAAGCGTCTCATATAATACGACGCTAGTCAAGTTAATGGCTAACAAAAATGTGAACAAAAATGCGGTTATTCGAAATCGAAATTCAATATTATCTTGTATGTAAAAATCCAGCGAAACACACGTATTTATGGACGCTCGATATATCACAGCTTTCTTAAGTTGTTAATTATACTTAAATCGACGAAGATTTAAAAGCGTGATGCGCGAGATTTACCCGGATCGAAACATTCGTACATGCACATTATACATGCAAACGTGAGTGAATTAGGGAAAAGAGCGAAATACATGTCACTCGAGGAAGATCCTCAATGTGCTTACGGCTTGTTAATCGCGGGATTTAATCACACGGATCGGTACTTGATAAATATTCATGAGGAACGATCGCATTTGGTGTTTCTTACTATTCGTCGTTATAGTATTACGAAGAATAATGCGACAACACGCGGAACAGCTCGCGCCCCTAACCGCTCGAGTCTCGTCGTTCGCAGGAATGCTGAGTAATTAAGTCACAATGGGGTCGCGCCACTCGCGCCGTCGCGGTGAGCGGTGACGCGGAAACCCTGAGTAGTGGGGTTGGAGAGGGGGGGTAAGGTGACGTAGGCACGGTGCGCGTTCGGTGTACGTATAGTCCGCCTACTTCCCCCTTCACGTTTTACGTCGTTTTTTGACATAACGATCGCTACCGTACTTCTTGCTTTAATTACACAAGTATTAAAGAAAATATCGTCATATCTTGTAATTATTACCTGCACGACTAAAAATACACATTCGTAGTTCATAGCGAAGCAAACACATCGCGCGATTTTATTTGCGGCCAAATTATTTCGCGATATTTGCAGCCAATAACTGTCGCCGCAATTAATGATACTTGGACACGAATATATCGCGCCTTGAATTTTTGTCTTAAATTTATCTATCACTTCAAAATTGATAACGTGGAGTAATATATGAATCGAAGGATCGAATCATTAACGTACGTGTTATATAGATAAATAGAATAAAATATTTCGCATACATTTATCTTATTGTATATTCATGATAGCAAATCTGGTATGCGACGTTCGTTTTTGCGATGTTTACAAAATGTATACATAACTCGTCGCATTATTATTTGCGCGATAAAATTCGGCAGGCAGATAATATTACAATTTCTTTGACGATACCAAAATTTTTCGTTTAAATGTAACTTGCTCATCACTTTCGAATTGAGAGTAGAGGAATAGTCGGATCGGATTACTCAGTAATGAAAAACGATAGCATAAATTCGACGTCTATCTCATTCGTTCGTCTATCTCATTCGTAAAAATCCTCCGCCGTTAAAGATTTCGTCTGCTCTGTTAATTTAGTAAGATTCATGGATATCAGGTGGATTGTACAGCTTCTTTTTTTACGTTATTCTATCGTCGTACAATGAAGTGCACATCGCGATTGAGTGCCGTGTAAAGTGCCGCACGATATTTTCGTGAGTGTTATATTAAACACGAAAGAACGTGAGAAGAGAAGTCTTAAGAGGCATCGGATGACCATGGAACAACCACGGGGTGAGTGAATCATTATTTTATATTTTATTCGTGTCTTTTAGCTTGCGAAAATTAATCATTTCACAATAATCGTATAATATTAGACTTCAAAATTTTATAGAGGGGAGTAATCGTTTTTTACAATTAGCTGACAATCAGTATATTCTCAATCGATCTCTATAATCAAAATCAATTAAATTATCCGTATCTCAAAATATAAAACTTTATTCCCAAAATTTCATCTGATTCTTTTTTTATATATAAAATTCATGTAACGAAGATAAATATGGATCTAAAAGATGATACCGATAACAAGTTCTTCAAGAACAAGATTTTACGGATTAAATAAGGCTAAATAAGTGATTTTTTTATTTAAAAATGTACCTCCGATGTTTCGCGATAAACAAATAATTAAACATAGGGTAACCAATTATTACAAAGAGATTTATTTCCTGTTATTATCGCATTTTCCTTGCGTTATTATATGTATAATATATTTTCATCGTTATAATTTATGTAAAAAGAATGAAGAAATTTATAACAAAATATAAATTTGAAACGATAAGTTTACAACAAAATTAAATTTCAAAATTATCAGAATAAGTATGACGAGAGAATGGCTGTTAGCCAAAAGGCATATATTTCTCGTTGAAATGTATAATTCATCTTAGCCTTGTTCGTAAAATGTCTACTTTTTAACAACGTAACTACCCTTTAATCATTGTCGTTTGCGATCGCATTTCACGCGTGTCTCAATAACTTTAGAAAATTTATGAATCGACACTCCTACGACTTTGCCGTTTGAGAAAGTAAAAAGAACGATTCGTATGGCAGGGAGGGCGCACATACCGATGAAAATTTCAGACTTAAACAGCGATGAATAGTTTATGCCCGACAGCGTGGTTGAAAAAAAATTTCATAGCCGGTAACGTGACGTATCGATGTCTTGGCCCCGGAAATTGGCGGCCGCGTTTTGCACGCGTCACAACAACTTCGCGAGATTTATTAATCCGCTTTAGCCCACAGGCGTGTACACCTATTCACGGAGATTTTCCAGCGTAGTCGAGTGAGTTGTTTATGTGAGAGCGTAACGCACAGCGGCGACAATTTTTATTCTCGAGCCGCCTCGATGTCTCTGCGGCGCGACGTCTGCGGTCACATTTTGCGCGATCATTTTTCAGAATCCAAAGCACGATCGTAAATCAGATGGACCATGGGAAAATGAAGCTCGAACCGCGAGTAGGCAATCGAAAGCGGCCATGATTTGTCCACGACGCCTAATTACAGCCGGAACGACGATCGCATGATGCGATATATGCTTAGGTACAGCTAATTTAAATGATTGAGACGGCGTAATCGTCGCGTTCTCAACGGCGCACGGCGGCAGAAGATCATCCATCGCTATTTTTACATGTTCGCCGTGTTCATCACGTAGGCAGCTAGTAATTATTCTATTATGCGGCGATTTATGTTGCATGCCGCACATCACGCGAGTTTGAGGAGGCGGATTCCATCGCGAGACAATCGTGGGAAATTTAATTCGATGTTTTAGCTATATATGCATTGCAAAATATTTTTAAGATATATAAATTAAAACTCTTATTTTTTTTTTTCTATCAAAAGTATAATATAGCAAAAAATATAATGTAACTAAAAAAATGTTCTTAATTCTCTCTCTCTTACTCTATTACAATTATTACTATGTGACTTAAACTTATGTTCTCTTTCCAAACGGATAACATCGCGATTCATCGGAATACATCACGGTTCAAAGTACAGAGCCGATTGAAACAGGGTTATCATACAGCTCAGCGCAACAACGGGGTATATCTGAAACAATGCAGGTATTCGATTCGATTACGATTCCGCAGTTCATCTCTCATTCCCGCCTACAGGAAGCGCATCAGAGAGGAGGTGGCTTGAAATTGCCAGCTGCGGCTTTGGATTTATAAAGGACCGGCCGGCAGAGTCCAGACCGACATGGCGATCCGATCTTGTCGATTCTCCGAACCTAGTTTGCGAGTGTGTGTGTGTGTGTCAATCGCGTCTCTGTGCTTCTAGCACATCGTTCGTCGGTCGTGTCGGGAGCCTGCTGCTGCTCGGTTCCCATGAAGTTGCTGACGGCGTCCGGCGGCCTGCATCTCATTGGTATTCCGGGCAACTCCCGGGTGGAAGGAGTGCTCTATTTTACGAGCGGTTGTATATGATCTCGACAAATTGGCCTTTGCCAGATTTCAGCGTGAAAAAAGGACGGGTAGCGGTGGGTAGCGGCGGGCCGCTGATAGTAACGACGAGCCAGCGCTTCGCCTCGTTTCAACCGCGCATATTTACAAGTTCATAATTCGTACCTCGGGCCGGAAATTGCCTCCGCACGTCCGACGTGAGATACACGTCGAGCGCGTTCGTTATTCCCGAAAGTAAGTCTCCCGTAAAGTCTCCATAAAAATTTCGGAAGTTAATAATAAAGCTCGAAGTCGCGCCGGCCGCGGCGCCGCGCGAGATGAAGTTGTGAGACGTCGTCGGTCTAAATTATTCCTCGTGGATAATTAGATGGGCATGGCCGCTCGCGAGGGACCATTATCATCGCGCCGCGCATTTTTCTCGGCACCTAAGCAGGCGCTCACTCTCGTACTCTCGTCAAATCACCTATAGTCATACATCAGTGTTACGAGAGACTGATCGTCAGAACGGGAGTCGACCGGGCCACAAACGCGCCGGCTTATTTCGACAGAGTCATTCCGCACGCAACACTGTGTTCTATTCCCCGGCGTAGGTAATCAGAGCGCTTAATTATCAGAACCATTTCGTATACAAGGCGCGGCTGTATCGCCAGGCCCCCACGTCACATACAGCATTCCCAAAGATCATAACGAGAGACTACGACAAAGAAAAGGGCGGTTTCGGCCGCAGACAAACGAGGCTCGATACAAGAGGAGAGAAGAGAGTAGAAAGCAAAAAAAGAGAGAAGTCGA